CCTTCGAAGCGTGTTTGGGGTCGTTGTCCTGTTGAAAGACCCACCGCAATGGCATATTATATTCTGCGTATGGGAGCATTACCCTTTGCAATATGTCTTTATACATAAATCTATCCATAATACCAACAATTCTGTGCAGTGGGCCAACTCCGGCACCAGAAAAACAACCCCACACCATTATATTGCCCCCCCCCCATGCTTGACCGTTTTTTTACAGTAACGTGCTTCGAGTCGTTTTCCTTCTGGTCGCCTTACATAGCACATGCCATCGCTACCAATTATGTTAAATTTGGACTCATCACTAAATAATATAGTTCTCCATTTACTCTCTGTCCAATTTATATGAGCTTTAGCTAATTCCAAATGCTTCTTCTGGTTTCGCTTCGATATCAGTGGTTTTTTTGCAGGACGTCTTGCGCAGAGGGAGGCTTGTAAAAGTCTTCTACGGATGGTGCGAGCAGAAACTGGCAACTGAAATCTTTCCACTATCTTAGAGGAAGATATAAATGGGTCTTTTTTCACGTGTCTGATTATTAATTTGTCCGTCCGATCGCTTGTTTTTCGATTTCGACCACCACGGTGTATAACAGAGACTTGTGAATTTTTTTAATGATGCGCGATATGGAGCTTTTATGAACGGTATATTTCTCGGCAATACATTTCTGTGATAATCCAGAAGAATACGCAGTCACAATTCGTTGTCTGAGCTCAAATCCAAATTTATCGCGTGCCATTTTTGAACAAACTCTATTTTAGCTTTGTGAAAAAACAACGCAATAAAAATGTGAAGGTAGCTTTAAATCTCTTTACGCAGTGTCTCTAGATAATAATAAGAAGAACAATAGAACAAACGAAATTGTAAAAATGCCGTTATTTAAACCAAATATATAAAGTTGCATATGTTTTGACCACACCAAATTTCATATTTGTCAACAAAATACCTGTGAACATAGAGATATAAACAAAAGCTGCACATTTTGATAATAATTTGAAATCGTATGAAAGTATTGACTATAATTAAACCATCTTTATATACTTCGTTGTGAAATTTACAAATTTATATAGCCTTTTAACGTAGATGAATCTTAGTTGCATATGATATGGCCACCACTGTAGGTAAAAAGTAAAATCTGAAATATGAGAGATTATGGGACAGTTGTGTTCTGAGAGTTCGCTGGATATTGTGCAGCGAAAATGTCCAGCAAAATTTTGCACGTCTAATTTGTGGATATTTCGAGAAGTAGTTGTATGTTTTCCTCCCTGTACTTATGACTACTATGCAGGAGTTTACTAAATGTTGCAGTGTTAAGGTGCAGATAGGATGAAATTGTATAAATTATGGGCCGAAGCTAAGCTCTGTCGAACTAAAACTTCTTTGTTCTTTTACGTAGAAGGTGGGAAAACATAAAAAAAAATGTATACCCTTCACCATACATAGTATGGAGGGTATATTAAGTTCGTCCATCCGTTTGTAACTCATCGAAATAATAATTTTAGACATAAAAGATTTAGCCCTGCTCGTCCGTCCCTCTGTTGTAATCACTTTGTAGTCAAAACGAATAAAGATAGGAAGCTAAAAATTGGCACAGATAAGTCTTTTGTCTGCTGGCATGTCGTATAGCCCCCATATAACAGTACCCCCGTAATTCGATATTTTGATGATTTTAGTCAAATTTTTCAATGAAATTGTCTGAAAATCCACAAAAGGAGTTCCTTCAGAGTATTTTATCCCCTGGAAAAGAATTGTCTACGTAGGTCCACGAAATCGTATACCCCCAATTTAACGGTACCTCCCTATGTTCGGTATCTTGATGATTTTAGCTACAGTTTTCAATGGGAATTGTCTAAAAATCCATACTAGAAGTTATTTTCACTTTACCACCTGGAAGAGAAATATCTATGTTCACGATATCGTATAACCCACATACAACGACACCCCCCGATATTCAATATGTTGGCGATTTCAGGGACATTATTCACCAGAGTGGTTTCAAATTTCGTATTAAGAGTTCGTAATGAAAACTACAGTCTATGACAGAAAATTGTCTATGCAGGTCCAGGTCTTCGTATAGGCCCCATATATCAGTACCTACCTATATTCGGTATTTTGACGATTTTAGGTACAATATTCACCGGAGTTGTTTCAAATTTCGTATTTGAAGTTACTACAGCCTGTGACAGAGAAGTGCGTATGCAGGCCCACGTCTTCGTATAGCCTCCATACATAAGTACCTGCCTATATTAGGTATTTTGACGATTTTAGGTAAAATATTCAGCGAAATTGTTTGAAATTTCGTAATTGAAGATTTAATTATTGTAATGGCGTATGACAAAAGTTGCCTATGCAGGCCCACATCTTCGTATAGACCCCAATACAACGGCTATATTCGGTAAGATTTAAAAACAATTTAAACGGATTTTTTTTTTTGAAAATTTCCAAATTCTGTCCAAATGGTGGATTGTATAGAATGTTCGGCCCGGCCGAACTTACTGCTTTTTTACCATTTTTAAATAGCTTAAGTCATCGGTTGGCTTCTTCGTAATAAAAATCGAAAAAGCCAGTAAAAAAAGCGTTTAGCCAGTGAGAACACCCTTCTAAGTATGTATTTGCACCTTTAAGTCATTGGCTGGTTTCTTCGTTAAGGAACAAATTAGTTTTATGTGGACTTAGTGTCCTTTAACGAAAAATCCAGCCAATGACTTATGCCAGACAAAGATTCTACTCAATAACTCTGCAACATTGTTTTTATTCATTTATATGGCTTATGAACTGAATTGGAACAAAGCTGGCGACTTCAGATAGTGTTCTTTGGCATGAGACATGGACTGGGGTTTTCCTAAAAAAGCCAGCCGATAGATTAGGCCAGAATAAAATTCTTGTACATACAGGTCGAAATGAAAAAAACTGCAACCAACTTTAGACTGCTGTCACTTCTAAGCCACTAGTCCGACAGCTGTTAAAATTATTCCAGTGACAGCTCATTGTATTATTTACAAGCGTACAAAAAACATTTTGGTGAGAATTTTCCAGAAAAAATGTTATTCATGATGGAATTCAAGCGTGATAGTGTGATTTCTTTATATTTGGCTGGAAAACCACAAGTGGCTATCGTTAGAGCAGTCCTGCATTTAAATGTTAATAAATCTTTTGTGTCTCGTACCATCGCTCGGTACCGTGATACTGGTAGCGTAGCCCGACGTCAAGGAAGTGGACGGAAGAAAACAGCAACACCAGTAGAAATGGTTCGAAAAGTAAAGAAGCGACTTGATCGAAACCCGCGTCGCAGTGGTCGTAAAAATGGCTCGTGAGCTGAACATATCGTAGTAATATTCCATTCGGCAAATATTGAAAAATAAAAAAAAGTAAAGCCATTGAAAGTCCAAAAAGTGCAAGAACTTGCACCGCAACAGAAAGAAAATGGACTCAAGAGAGCTAAAGAGTTGCTTCGCTTGGCCGAAAGTGGTGAACTGCTGAATTCGGTTTTCTCCGATGATAAAACATTTGTTGTCCAGCAGTTTGTAAACAAACAAAATGATCGTGTTTACTTGCCAAAGAGGTCAGCTGAAAATGTGCACCTTCGGTTGGCCACCAGAACTCAAGCGCCGGCCATGGTGATTGTGTGGGCCGACATAACAGCCGATGGTCGCTCTCTGATCGTATTAATCGACCGCGGCATCAGAATAAATGCCGAAAATTATCGTGAAAATATTCTGGAGGGTGTATTAAATCCGTGGGAACGCAAACATTTCGGCTGCAGACCTTGGACATTCCAACAGGACTCAACACCATCGCACTCAGCACGCGTCACCCAAAAATGCTTACAAAATGAGATTCCTCGCTTCATTTCCGGCACACAATGGCCACCAAAATCTCCGGATACCAATAAGTTGGAGTATTGTGTCTGGAGTATTTTGGAAAGCAAGGTTGGCACTAAAAAATACCAAAGTGTCGATCACCTCAAGCAAGCGCTTCGACGGGAATGGGCCAAAATACCGCAGAGCAACATTCGGGCAACATGTTAGGGTTTCATTCACCGTTTGAAGGCCATAATTCGCCACAGGCCAAATGTGGCCAATTCGAACAAATCTAAACTTATTCTAAAATTTTTTGGTATTTTCGAAATTTTTAAATAAAATTTAAAAAATAAATAAAATTAAAAAAAAATAAAAAAATTTAAATAAATTATTAAATAAAACTTAAAAAAATGTAAAAAATATGGCGTTTGACTTTGTTGCAGTTTTTTAATCACACCCTGTATTTTCATCATTAATATCAGAAACACTGTAGGTTTTGGACCGCATTGTCTCAATTGTCAAGAAAGTGGTCTGGATTTTTTTTAAAAAAATAAAAAATCTAATTTTAATAATAAATCTAATAAATAAATAAGATTTCGGAATATTTTGGTTCTATTTCCGATGTTTGAAATGCTATTTGGCTCAGAGAATTGGAGAGATTCACCAAACCGGAGCGGAGGGCCACCAAGATCGCATAACACTGAGTATTATTTGTTATGCGAAGATGAGGAGGATTACAACTCTCACAGTTGCACTTTTGAGTTACAATCTAACTCCGAACTACCCTCAACGGTACTCTAAACTGCCTGTAGTTTCAAGTTTTCTAAAAAAGTAGTGGAAAAAACTAGAGTGAATTAAAGATTTTTAGAATCGTTTGGATTTTAAATTTTAGGATTTTATGCCTAACTACATCATTTTATTGATCGGAAACTTTACAATGCATTTGTCAGGGGTAGGGTGCATTGAATATCTAAAGATAAGGACAAGAAAGATATGTATGTACTCGCTCACTTACAAACATATGTTCAAGTTCAATCAATTTTGTATTCTTTGAAATGCGTTTTGTGCTAGGCTATGGATTTCCTTCGCTATCTGACTTATATGTCTCCACCGGTATGTACATCATTAGTAATTTGGCCAGGCTAGAAAAAAAACACACGCACACACATAATTTTTGATAAAATTTCATATTATCTTTGTGGCGACCACTTGACAAGCGGACCATTATTTGATGGATAATTATTTTCATTACCAGAAATCAGTTGGCTTTCAGCAGCTCAACAGAAAGGGTGATATTTGGTTTTATTCAAAAAAAAAGAGAAGGCTAATAATTTTTTTTCAAAACGGGGTGTAAGTATTACTGAGAAAGAGGATCCTGAAAATTATTGAACTTTTAATGTTTTTTTTTTTTATTTTTTTAATTAGACAAATAAAACGGCCGCAATATGGGGGACATGTTTCGCAGTGAGAAAATGTCCTTGTGCCAGATTTTCCTACAACCGGAAGCGGCATATGAGACAATTGCACAATTCGGCGAGGAAGGATGTGTACAGTTTCGCGATGTAAGTGGAAAAGGATTTTTGAGTGGAAATTTAGAGCTTTTATAATTTGAGCCTCTCTTATGTTTCCAGATGAACGAAGGCCTTACCTCCTATCAACGAAAATTCGTGGCCGAAGTTAGGCGTTGCGATGAAATGGAGAGAAAACTCCGTTTCATTGAAAATGAAATTAGAAAAGACGACATTAACATACCTGACTTGGAGCCTGAGACCATACCACCGGCTCCCAAGCCCCGAGAAATGATCGATCTGGAGGCCCAGTTGGAGAAGACCGAAAAGGAAATTATCGAATTGGCCCAAAACGATGTCAACTTGAAATCCAACTACTTGGAACTCACCGAAATGTTAAGGGTGCTCGAGAAGACCCAAGGTTTCTTTGAGGAACAGCAAGTTGTAAACATGGAGCTGAGTAAAAACGCCGAAGATCATCATCACGGTGGTGGTGGTCATTTGGGTTTTGTGGCCGGTGTCGTTGGCCGAGACCGAGAATTTGCCTTTGAACGCATGTTGTGGCGTGTGGCCCGCGGCAATGTCTTTGTCAAGCGATCCCAATTGGAAGAGAGCCTGCGAGATCCCAAAACCGGTAATATCATGTACAAAACCGTGTTCGTCGTCTTCTTCCAAGGTGAACAGCTGAGGACGAGAGTGAAGAAAATCTGTACTGGTTTCCATGCCTCCATGTATCCCTGTCCCGAGGAACATTCCGAAAGAAATGACATGATCAAGGGATTGAGAACACGTCTGGATGATTTGAAGGTGGTTTTGCAGCAGACGGAAGATCAACGTAAATGTGTCCTGACGGCTGTCTGCAATCAAATATCCAAATGGGCGGCAATGGTCAAGAAAATGAAGGCCGTCTATCATGTCATGAATCTACTGAATCAGGATGTGACCAGCAAGTGTCTGATTGGTGAATGTTGGGTGCCCAACCGCGATTTGCCAGCCGTGCAATTTGCCCTGGCCGAAGGTTCCAAGGCTGCCGGCAGCCATGTACCCTCATTTTTGAATGTTGTGGAGACAAATGATACCCCACCCACCTATTATCGTACGAATAAATTTACTCGCGGTTTCCAGAATCTGATTGATGCCTACGGTGTTGCCACCTATCGAGAAGCCAATCCCGGTCTCTATACCTGTATTACCTTTCCCTTTTTGTTCGCTGTGATGTTTGGTGATATGGGTCACGGTTTTATTCTCTTCCTGTTCGGTTTTTGGATGGTTGTGGATGAAAAGAGATTGGGTCGCAAACGGGGTGGTGAAATTTGGAACATTTTCTTTGCCGGTCGCTATATTATCATGCTCATGGGTCTGTTTGCCGTCTATACCGGGTTCCATTACAACGATATGTTCTCCAAGTCCATTAATGTCTTCGGAACGACATGGAAGATCCGTTATAATCGTACCACCGTTTTAACCAACGCCGCTGGCCTTACTCTGGATCCCACCTATGCCACCGATGGTGTCTATGTCATGGGCATGGATCCCATTTGGCAATTTGCCGACAACAAGATTATCTTCCTGAATACCTACAAAATGAAGTTGTCCATTATATTCGGTGTCCTGCACATGGTGTTCGGTGTCTGCATGTCTGTGGTGAATTTTGTGTATTTCAAACGTTATGCCAGCATCCTTTTGGAATTCTTGCCTCAGATGATCTTCTTGCTACTGCTGTTCGGCTATATGGTCTTCATGATGTTCTACAAATGGATTAAATATTCTCCAAAATCGGATATATTAGCTGATACGCCCGGCTGTGCTCCCTCGGTGTTGATTATGTTCATCAACATGGTGCTGTTCAAATCATCGGCGGTTTCTCCGGGCTGTGATGAGAACATGTTCGATGGGCAAACTAAACTGGAAATGATATTTGTAATTGTCGCAGTCATCTGTATTCCATGGATGTTGATTGGCAAGCCGTTGTATATTAAGTTTAATCGCAAGCATAAACCTCAGGTAAGTTGGGAGCATACATAAGAAATATAAATTCAGTCCGACGCGAAATACCATTTTCCTTTTCCGCTTCCAATGTTTTTAGCATCCCGATGATTACAAATCTACCGATACTTTGGAAATGATCGAAGGAGATACCGCTGTCGTAGTTGAGGTTACAGAAGTCAGCAATCGTGATCCCAATGCCGGTCATGGTGGACACGATGAAGAACCAATGAGTGAAATTTGGATTCATCAAGCCATTCATACGATTGAATATGTTTTAAGTACCATTTCCCATACAGCATCCTATTTGCGTTTGTGGGCCTTGTCACTGGCTCATGCTCGTAAGTTGTAGAACAAATCAAACAAATTCCGTTAAATTATTTCCTATTCTCTGTTCATTCCCATTCCATAGAATTGTCTGAAGTACTTTGGACTATGGTGCTGTCATTGGCCCTGCAAATGAAGGGCTATGCCGCCTCCGTTGCGGTGTTTTTAATTTTTGCCGTTTGGGTATTCTTTACCATAGCCATTATGGTTATGATGGAAGGTTTATCTGCTTTCTTGCACACCCTGCGTCTACATTGGTAAGTCGATAATAAACATTTAAATTACGAAGTATATTTATCTCTATTTTATTTTTTTATTTTCCTATTACAGGGTCGAATTCATGAGCAAATTCTATGAAGGCGCTGGTGTCATTTTCCAACCCTTCAGTTTTAAGGTCATCTTGCAAGATGATGAAGAAGCTTAATCTGTAAAATATTAATTCAATGTTGTGAACAGATGAATAAAATATTTAGAAAATGAAAATTAAAAAAGAAACAATTTTACGGTAATCAAAGAGAATTTCGGTTAGAAACTCTTGCAGTTCTGGAACAGACCAAAAAGTGAAGTTGCCATAGCAGCATGCATGTTTTAGAACCATGAGAAGGTAAACTCATTTCAAACAAGCATATCCATATCTGCATTTTCTATAACTTACCGTGTCAAATTTCAATGCATAGGCAACAGGTTCCAATTTCTGAATTGTGTCAAAGACATACAGGGTGAGATAAAAAAAAAACTGCAACAAAGGCAAACGCCATAATTTTTATTTTTTTTTTTAATTTTATTGAATGAAAGCAAGAAATAGCATAAATTTTTAGAATAAATTTAGATTTCTTCGAATTGGTCACCTTTGGCACGAATTATGGCCTTCAAACGGCCAATGAAACCGTCACACGCTGCCCGAATGTTGCTCTGCGTTATTTTGGCCCATTTCCGGCGAAGCGCTTGCCTGAGGTGATCGAAACTTTCATATTTTTGAGTGCCAACCTTGCTTTCCAAAATACTCCAGACACAATAGTCCAACGGATTCGTATCCGGAGATTTTGGTGGCCATTGCGCGCTGGAAATGAAGCGAGGAACCTCATTTTGTAACCATTCGTGGGTGACGCCTGCTGAGTGCAATGGTGCTGAGTCCTGTTGGAATGTCCAAGGTCTGCGACCAAAATGTTTGCGTGCCCAAGATTTTAATTATAGAATACTAGCTGAACCCGGTGCGCTTCGCTACCCCTTTTGATTTTATATGCATTCAAAATTTTATTTACGAATATATGTTGGTTAAAAAAAAACAAATTTAAAAATTAAAAAAAAAAAATTATTGCACTACATTAATGCGTAAATAACCAAAACCATTAGAAAAGCAGTAACATGACATACATACACGAAGGGTTTGTCCTTCGGATTTATTTATTTCATAGCAAATACCAAGCGTGCAGTAAACTGCAATCTTTTGAAGTTGAGTGGCATTTCTATCAAATCTGAACGTATTTGAATATAATTTGTCAAATGTATTTTTGTACCAAATTTAGCCACTCATGCCGAATTTCATTGGATTCGGAAATACGTATCGTGTTTTGTGCATCAAATATGTGAAATCGGCGGAAAATATATATGGGAGCTATATCCAAATCTGAACCGATTTTAATATAATTTGACTAATTTATTTTCTAATCAAAATCCCGTTACATATTCCAAATTTCTTTGGAATCGAACATACATATCGTGTTTGAGGCATCAAATAAACGAAATCGATCGAAAATATATATGGGAGCTATATCCAAATCTGAACCGATTTCAATTTAATTTGACAAATTTATTTTGGCTCCCAATTCCGTTACTTATTTCAAATTTCATTTCAATTGGACATACATATCGTGTTTGGTCCACCAAACACATGAAATCGGCCGAAAATGTATATGGGAGCTATATCCAAATCTGAACCGATTTTAATATAATTTGGGAAATCAATTTTTTAGATAAAATCTATCACACGTTTCAAATTTCATTGAAATTGGGGAAACATAGCGTGTTTATTGCATCAAATGCTTGAAATCGGCCGAAAATATATATGGGAGCTATATCCAAATCTGAACCGATTTCAATATAATTTGACAAATTTATTTTCGGATTAAATTCCGTCACACATTCCAAATTGCATTGGAATCGAACATTCATATTGTGTTTGAGGCATCAAATAAACGAAATCGATCGAAAATATATATGGGAACTATATCCAAATCTGAACCGATTACAATATAATTTGGCAAACTTATATGTGTGCATATAAAATCTAAATTTTTGGGAGGTACCTCCGATTCTGATGCTATATCTCCAGTTCCAAGTGGAAATTCAAAAATGTATATAGCCTATGTTACTTTCAGGCGATGTTGCAGTATATATGGAAATTTTCAGGAAAATCTATTCAGCGGTTTTCGAGTCCATAAATTACAAACAAACAAACAAACATACAAACATTTTCCTCTTTTATAGATATAGATTTTAGCGATAATATTCGGCATTTATTCTGAGACCGGAGAGCGACCTTCGGCTGTTATGGCGGCCCACACCATCACCATGGCCGGCGCTTGAGTTGTGGTGGCCAACCAAAGGTGCACATTTTCACCTGACCTCTTTGGCAAGTAAATGCGGTCATTTTGTTTGTTTACGAACTGCTGGACAACGAATGTTTTCTCATCGGCAAAAACCAAATTCGGCAGTTCACCACTTTCGGCCAAGCGAAGCAACTCTTTAGCTCTTTTCAGTCTATTTTCTTTCTGTTACGGTGTGAGTTATTGCACTTTTTGGAATTGCAATGACTTTACCCCGAGCTAATTTTTCAATATTTGCCGAACGGAATATTGCGATATGTTCAGCTCACGAGCCATTTTTCGGCCACTGCGACCAGGGTTTTGATCAAATCGCATCTTTACTTTTCGAACCATTTCTGTTGATGTTGCTGTTTTCTTCCGTCCACATCCTGGACGTCGGGCTACGCTACCAGTATCACGGTAACGAGCGATGGAACGAGACACAAAAGATTTATTCACATTTAAATGCTGGAGTGCTCTAACGATAGTTTTCCAGCCAAATATAAAGAAATCACACTGTCACGTTTGAATTCCATCACGAATAACTTTTTTTCTGGAAAATTCTCACCAAAATGCTTTTGTACGCTTGTAAATAATATAATGAGCTGTCGCTGGAATAATTTTAACAGTTGTCGGACGAGTGGTTTAGAAATTACAGCAGTCTGAAGTTGGTTGCAGTTTTTTAATCTCACCCTGTATATTTTTATTATTAATATGTTGAAATTTTTTGGAGGCTATCAATTAAATTAATGAATTTCGACAAGCAGATTGTATGCGAAACAGTATATGTAAGTATTTACACATAACGCTGAACCGAACCGAATCAAAGCCACGATTCAACCCGCTTGAAAGCCCATTTCATAAACCGAACCATGGTTCAAAATGAAGCGTGAACCACTGAACCGAGCCAACCCAAATCGACAAGTGGTTTACAGCCCTGGTATGTATACGTAAAACAGCAGCAACTGAGCGGCATTTTTATCCCCCTCCTAAAGGTGTATCTAGGTTGACCCATGGTAAGATAAAATGGTATTGTAGAGCCATCAGCTGTTTAAAAATTTTTCTAAGTGTGCCCGACTTCTGCCAATTTTGTGTATATTTTTGTTGTTTTGAAAAATAAAAACAAAACATTTTCAAAATCAATGATTGGGCGCGTATTAATAATATTAACCAGATTTGCCATGGTATTGAAAGATTGAACACTTAGGATCATATTTTTGAGAGAACATCCTGGCATTTCATTCATCTTTCGCGTTATTTGACTCATTTTAGAAATGAACAAAAATATCAAATAAATGAAAACAACTTGCTGCCTATAATTTTGAATAATTCTGACAGGAAGCGGGCATAGCCTCAGGGCTGCATTTCTGTAGTTTAACGAAGCTGTTCTACCTCCTTATTTTACCATGGGTTGACCAACTAGTCTCTCACCAATCTAACTCAATCGTATTTATAAATATTATTCAGATCGTTGTTTCGGTGCACTCGTTTGTTTGCGTATGAGCTTTGACGAATGGACGTGGTTGTCATTCCGTTGGAATATTGTCGAATATCATGTGCCTCAATTCTACTGGCATGAAAATGTCAAATGAAAACTTTTATCGAAGAAAGAAATGTCAAATGAAAATTTTTGTAAAAGAAATATTTTTTATTCATATTTTCATCCCCAGGATTATCATTCCCGAAACCTCAGGCCAGCGAATCAGTTCAGTATTGAATCGTGACTAGTTGATTAGTAAAGTTCTACAGTAAAGCTGAGTGCAAAGTAAGGATGTAAGTACACAAGAAGCTTGAAGTCATGGATAGGCATATTTTGTGACATTTCATAAAGGGATTACAGAGCCGCACTAAAATACTGCCGTCGTTTTTCATTATAATTTGACATTAATATGCCTAGTCATGACTTCAAGCTTTTTATGTACTTGCACCTTAACATGGAGAGCATGGCACAGTTACATAAGGTAGAACAAAGCTACGCCTTAAATACAATTGTTTTCTTTTGGTAACCTTATTCTGTCAAAACATATACCCTTTTTTGTATTGTTTTGATTAAAAAATACAATAAATTTAATTATTAATAAAATTTCAAATTCGGTTGCAAATGAATTGCATATTTTCGACGTTAATGGACAACACCTTGTAAAATTTGGTATAAAACTATATTGTCCTACGATTTTGGAGTCAATCTTGTGGAATTAACCCAAAATTATATACTTGTTTCCCGGGTTTTTCCAATATAATATATCTGTCAAAAAAACAAAATGGAAAATCAACAAAACCAACTGTTGCATATTTAAAAGTCTATTTGACACTATAAGACTCCAGCACAGAGTTGCATTTTTCTAGTTTCTTTGAGTTTAAGTAAACTTTCGTTTTGAGATATTTGTAGAAGTTGCACAAATCGTGTGTTACATGGTCGACATTGCAGTTTTGAAATACATGAGTAAAGTACATACCATGGAATAAAAATACAACGATTTTGAAAATCTATTGAAACACCTATTATTGCGCCATTATCACACCAAATTATTAGCTCAGCTGTCAAAATGTATTTCAATCGCAATGAAATCCTCTAAATTATTGTGCCATGCCACAACTTATACACAGAGTTAAAAGTTAAAATTATTTACATGTATTTATTTTACATTAATATTTTTACAGTTTTGAATTTTTTTTATAAAAATTTACTTTTTAAATATGCAAAAAAGTGTATTTATATTCAAATGTATTTTATGTCTAAATGTAAACGAAAGAACTCTTTAATATATTTTGTTTTGTAAACTAAATAAATATTTCTTAAATATTATTATAAATTATTGATTTTTGTATTCATAAATAAATCAGGTAATTAAGCTGCTTGTAAGGAATAATTAAGTTTTAATGTTTG